GCGTCTGCCCCTCTGCCTTTGCTTCTACCTTTACTTCTGCCTTTGCGTCTGCGTTTGCTTCTACCTTCACTTCAGCACTTGCTGCTGGCTTTGCCTCTTCGTTCGCCTCGGGCTTCGCTTCCTCGTTCGCGTTGGGCTTCTGATCGTCCTTGTTGGGGACGCTTTGTGCCACTTGTGCAGATGCAGAATTCTGTGCAGGTTCCTCTTTGGCGAGCGAACGTTGCTCACTCAGCGAGCAGGCCACATAGCCGACTAGCTTCATGAACTCCTCAAAGCCAACCTTGCCATCTTGGTCGCTATCCAGCCCCTTGCCCATGTTGTCTATCGCTTCTTTGCTGTCTGTGCCCTGAATAGTAGGCACATACAATTATGATGATTAGTAACTCTACCTCACCTCTTACTGGTCATATCACCATACATGATTAGTAAATGGCCCTCTATCAGTAGCTCCGTTTACATTATAATGTTGATCCGTGTCATTTCATCATACCGGATCACTTTTCCCATGTACTGGCTGTATATTACAGCAACATTTGTTCACAGTTAACATTTCAAAAATCTGGACAGGTTAAGGCTGGCCAGGGCTAACACAACACCATTGTCTGCTTTTGTGGAAGATGATTACATAATCCAAATATAAGCAACAATTCTGAGATTTCAACAAAGATTTCCTAACCGTGAGGATGTTTCCCAGCTGGGATGAGACAAGGTTTTGGAATTCTTTCTTCCCTAGACTTTCCCTTCCTTTGGACGACTTCAGGAAGACCTTCACCATGGTCTGAATGGCACTCTCCATGACTTCTCTCTCTCTAAAAAAGGGAGAGATAAAAACAATGATCATAGATAGATAAATACTTAGATGGTAATAATCACTGTTGCGTGCTGTTTGAGGGAAGTTGCATGGAGACAGTGTGGTTCAAGTGTGTTGCAGTAATAGGCACATGCAGTGGAAAATGAAACAGAGGATCTCCTCATTTCCATGCGCGTCCTTTTGTTTCAGGTGTTGAGCCTTGAGTTCCAATAAGGGAGGGATGGTGACGTGAGATAAGTGGAGAGGGTGAGAGGGAGTCTGATTGAGAGACAAGCTGTAACACACAATGGAAGTTCTGATCTTTGATAGGTCATCTGATCTACTGAAGCTACCGAGGGGACTGGGCTTCAGATTACCTAAGGGATTACCTAGTCCCTGTTTGCGCTTCTCTCCCGCTCCCCCTCTCCCTCATTCTGTCTTGCTTTTGCTACCTTGCCAGCTGTACTTGCCTCTCTCTTACCTGCTACTGTCTCTTTCTTGTTTTCACTCTGTTACCCCCTTTCACGCTACCAAATGGGACAATTAGGCCTGCTGTGGATTATCACTCTTTCATTACACATCAGCAGCCAATTCCTATACATTAAAACCTTTGCAGATGTTTGGAGTCTGACAGAGAGACTATCAGGACTTTAGATCTTTACAAACTCGTTCATATAGTCTACAGGCATTTCCCCAAGTTTAACATGCCAATAGGTGACACATGTTCGCAGAAATTCCATTCATTGCTGCCTGTTGAAATCACTTAGACAGGAATTTACAGGCCAGTTCCGAGTTAGTCTGCCCCAACGCAGAGAGAAGATATGTTTAAGGCAAACATATTGCATGTCAACTTCAGAATTCAAATGTAGCAGCGCAAAGTACAAAACAGAAACAAACTGTTCTTTGTTTCAACAAGGAAGCTGTCATGCAGAAAATTAACATCATTAGTTACTAAAGTCTGTGCACTTTACAACACCCACCTGAAGTTTATGGTGCTAGTGTTAGTCTCAGCATATGTTAAATAGCAGCAGGCTTTGACACCATAGAGTGTTTTAAATCTAACACTTGCAGCTGACCTACTGCTCTGTATCTGTCTGACCTTGTTGTGCCACAACAGAGCGCACAATATAACCACACGTTTGCATGCAGGCGAGTGAGCACATCTCTGATCGTCAAAACAGCTGTCACTGAACAATAGTGGCCTAATAAAGTTACAAACAAGCGTGTGTGTGTGTGTGTGCGTAAGTATTTTCAAGGAAAATTAGTTTCACCAGTTTTAAACTGCCCAGCTATGGATGAAGAAATCGACTGTTAATTTCTTGTTATGCTAAAACAAACAAACTCGGGCCTTTTAGGAACTTTAGGGGACTTCTTCCTCCGCTGGTGACACACCCTCCACAGCCTGAATGCACAAGAGCCTTAACTGCTTAACTGCGTCCTACTCAAAATACATTTCTTCTATTTACAGCCTGACATTTCTTTCATTTCTCACATTCATTGTTTACCTACGACCTGCCGTAAGTCAGTATTGCTTGAATAGCTTCTAAAAGCGCGCACGATTTTAAACAAATATCCCACGTCAGAGCTTCACCTTGTTGGACTCGGGAGAGAAGGCACATTAATCCCCGCTATTTGCCTTAAAGGCCCCAAAACTACTGCGCAAATAATTAAATATACAGGCCTACAACCAGAGGTTTCCCATTTCCCTTCAGAGCCCAGAGAGGATTGAGTATTGCGTTTCCAAACGGGCGAATGTGATACGGTAGGTGCGCAGAGTAATGACAATACTACCGCTAGTGTGGCATTAAATATTGAGAGAGGAACAAGTTAGGTTGTGGCTGTAAAATACAGCGCGCAGTCATTGTCTTTCTTCCAAGTTTGCAAATACAGAAAACTCAGACAATGTTGAATCCACATCGTCCACAAGCATGACGCTTTTTTCCAGGACTCATCCCAAATACCACAAGTAGACTAGTTTTAAATGTTTAAGCCAAAACAAATAAAATTGTCACAAGTGACAGACACAACTATACAAAACTCCACTCAGCAAGACAAACTGCCGCCTTCACGGGCCTCTCGATTAAAAGCATATTGTGCGCAAAGGTGTAAAAACCGCCACCAAAAATCGCTCAAAAATGCACTTTTACGCGCGACCCGGATGCCTGGTTGATGTGTCACGTTAAAGCCCAATACTGTCACTCAGAGTTACTTTAATTTTTTATAGGCATTTGGCAAAATGGTCGGCATCTGCCTTAATCATATCAAATATATTTTCCAAGAAAAGGAGCTCATGCTTCAACCCCACACAGTCTGTAAAAGCTAAAATGTAAACGCACATGAAAGCAAAACAGCCACTAACTATAATGATTTACTTTTTTTTTATGGAAGTGCAACGTGAACTCAAAACTTCGGTAGAGTCGAGTCATTGAAACCGTCCCGCAGTCAGACAGCGGCCAAATTTCATGGGATGGCTCTTGCGAGAGTTTATCGAAACGTGGCAAAAAAAAACCCTGATGAGCAAATAAGCTGCATACACGGAGGAGATTACTAAAATAAGCCAAAAAAATACCCTTTTAACTCACCGTTTACAGCCTGCGGGACAAGAGAAGTGTACAAATGTGCGCAAATTTGAGTTTCTGCCTTCTTCTCCACCTTTCTACGCTGCTTTGCGCCCAGAGAACTTGCCAAACTAGTAGGACTGCAGAATCTCTTCCGTGATTTAGGGTTTTTTTTCCTGTCCTTAAAACTTTTCCCCCTTCACAAGTCAGAGGGCGTGTACCTGGAAGAGAGAGAGAGCGGAGAATTGGGAATGTGCAAGAGCGCGACCCCAACTTTCGTGAAAAGGGAGTGAAAGTGTATCAAAACACTTATACTCGGTTTTTATTGGAATTATCTTTGGCTCTCGAGCCAGCTGTTTCACGTCATGTGTGATTTGTTCAGTTTCACGCCAACTAGGCAGGCTTGTGGCTTGGAGCGGCTTCATCTGCTGGGACGAGGAGACAGGGCGGGTGGGATTACTTCATCTGCACACAGCTCAGGCGTTTCCCAAAGTATTTCACTCACTAAAAGTAAAGAAAAAGCATAGCGATACGCCAGAATCTTGCAAAATTTTGCGGGAGGATGTGTCTTAAGTGAAACAGACACACATCTGTACGTCTCCCAGATAGCAAGGAAACATTGAAACAATGAATAACACACAATTGGCACAATTTTACGCACCCACTTTCTTTGACGGAAATAAAAATGTAATAAATAAATACTTTTTAACTCTTTTAAACTAACAGAATAGGATAAAACTTATATTAGGCTGAAAATAATAGCCTGTCTCTTTTTCCTGCTGACACGTTGGAAAATATGAGGGTGAGGCGAAGGACTCTACTGAACATACTGCAGGAAAGCTAATGTGGGTGGCAAATATGGTTGAAGAGGTAAAGCAGTCTTTCCAGATCCCCGAAAGAGCTTTTGAGACTTTGAAATTTTGAATTTATGCCACAGATTATCTCTTACTAAATATCCCCCGCTCTGTGCTGATAAGTTCTAAAGAAGCCTTCACATTAATGCTATCTGGTAACGCTCTGGACTTCAAACCAAAGGGAGTTGGTCATACAGACAATTCGTTTGTGTGTTCCAACTTCATTTTGTCTATCACTTTGGAGTTGATGACTCATTGCATCATTCCTCCCACACTGGCACCTCAATCTGTGTAACTTGGATACAAAGGTCACATTTATTAATCAGTTAAAGATCATTGTTCTCCAAATCAGTTAGCATAACCTCCTTGTGTCTCTCTGGCAAAATTAAAACAGGCCTATAGGCTATAAAACAGCTGGGGAGCTCGCCAGCACACATAACTCTGTCTAGACATTGGAATTAATACAAAGTGACCGTAACACTAAGAACTGCCAGCTGAAGAGGCACATTGCAATTAAACTGCACAAGCAAAATATAATAGAATGATTTTGCAGACTACTGAGGCCACACTGATGGACAGCAAAGGCTAAGCTATGCTTTTACACCATCCCTGCTTAATGCTTGGACAAGCAGCTTTGTGCAGGTATTATAAAGCACTATGCAACAAGATATTGTCTGGATGGTGTAGTTGTAATAGTGGTAAAGCATACTGGATTACAGCCCCCTAAATCAGGGTTGTAATACAATGTGGGTGGCTGGACATCATATAATATAGTGAATGAATGACAGGAGGCAGTGCTGGTTGTTGTTGGTGGTTTAAGACAATCAAGCTTTTAATTCATAGTTTCCTGTATTCAACAAATGGTTAACTGAAGAGTGGCACCAGCAGGGTGACAAAAGAATTCAAACGGTCTTGAACTCAAAAGCATAAACTGAGACGATTGGCGTTGCACAATCAGCTCACTTTCAGTCTCGATTGACAGAAAGCGACGAGCTCTACTAACTGAAGCCTCCCTGCTTGCTCGCCAGTTTTCCGATCAGCTGCCAGAACTCGGAGAAAGTCAGCTCCCCGTCGTTGTTTTCATCCAGTGAGCCCATGAGCTGGTCGATGACAGCGGGATCACTGGCATTCTGCAGAGGGTGATCACAAAGAACAGTTCAGGATCAATACAATATAATGATCTCAGATGCAGTATCATCTACTTTGAAACACTGTCCTGCCACCTAATGGTTGAATGAAGTAACAAAAACACCCGAAAAGCATTTGTAGGCACACTCACAACGTTTCTTGATCATGGGGAAAACAGCTATGAAAAGAGCTCAAGCCCTGTAAGTTACTATGGCCATTGGGCTATAAAACACATTAAATTACTACATTAAATATGCAGCAGAAGTGTTTGCTTGATAGTGTACAGTTTCTAATTAATTTCATTCCACTTTCACACAGATACAATCCCAAATTACAAGATTACGCTCCTTACAAGAATCAGCTGACCACGGTTTGATCAATTAATAATTTTGTTATAATCAAATAAATGTATTGACAATTTTTCAATTCCACTGTAAATACAAAATCAGACATTACCTTATGATGCAGATGGTGATTTTGTATAAAATGTTATTATCAGAATCAGAATCAGAGAAACACATTAAGTGAAGTAAAAACAAAAGAATTATGTCACATGATGTACAGTCACACGTTGCATGTAGAATTAAAATGCACAGTATTAGAATTTGATAGCAAAATTATAGTAGTATATGTTACACACACAAGTGTTGAATTTTTACATGCAAAGTGTGTATCGTGTTGTATAGAGTACACGTGATATAACATGATGAGGGAGGATTTTTCTGATTGGCTGCCAAGCGCGTGATCTTAATATTTGTCCTCAGTGCTCAGCATCTTTAAAAGTGTCTGGTGCCAAAAACTGATTTGCTACTTAACTACCAGTGGAGATACAGCCCTACCAGTGGAACAACAAAGAGCGACATGGCTCCAAACGCTGGGGTGGTTGTGGTGGTCCAGGAGGTAGCGCGGGTCGTCTACCAATCGGAGCGTTGGTGGTTCAATCTCTGGTTACTCCAGCTTGCATGTTGAAGTATCCTTCGGTAATATGTTGACCTCAATGCGTGCAGTGTGAATGTGTGTGCATGTGTGAATGTCATACAAGGTGCTTAAGTATAGAAAAGTGCATGCATGTTTGGGTGAATGCTCAGAGTAGAAAAAAATGTGCATTTGCCAAACAGATCAATGCCACAGTTACAGTTTCTTTAATATCTGTGTGTAGGCTGCTCAGGGACACAAATAACAAGGAAAAGAGGAAGAACAACTTAAGAGTCGCACCTTGACATAGTTGGGCAGCTGAGAAGCCACCAGGTGTTGGAACTCATCCTTACTCAGGGTGCTGGAGGATCCGTCTTTCCCAGCATATGTCTTGAACTGGGTGACAAGGGTTGAGATAGCAGCTTCCATGATGACCTGCGAAATAAACAAGTAGAGTGAATGTATTTCTCACACAAGAGCTTAAATAAAGAGATGCAGTAGGAAAGAAAAAAAGCATCCGTCTTACTTTCTGTGTCTGCAGTGCGGTGTGTCGCAATAAGTACCGAGAACCTTGTCCCTTGACTGTGACCATCACCTCTCCAAATATATACGCTTCATCTTCACGACTGATGCAAACATCAGCGGAAAACATTAAACCGTTCCCACTTCTCCCCCAGCCAGCAGGCTGCCCTTATCTGCCTGATTCCACTTCTCTGGAGACAGATGTCAAAACAAAGCACTCACACACAGAACAGAAAACAGCCATTCTGCCCTACAAAGGGCAAAACTGTACTAACGATAGCACAAAACCCATTTCAGTTTGCAGAGCAAGGCATTTAGTGGTAGCATCAGGCCATTCTTATCAAGTGACCGAATCATGCATGCCTAAGCAGTAATTAGTTTATACAAAACATGACTCAAATAATATGGTACAAACACAGTGTCATGTGTGAGCCTTTCCAACTGCACTAAGCTGATTAAAGTTCTGAAAAAAGATTAAAACAGCATTTAAACTTTAGACATTTTATCTTTTCCCCCCCCCTCAGCATTTTACTTGTCTTTCACTTCCTCAGGATTGTCTCAATGTTTTATAGCTGAAAATCGGTCTGCGCTTTCATGACCCTTCCAGTCATCCTTTTCATTTAAATGAGATCACGTCTCCAGGATGGACATGTAAAGAGGGCCCAACTCGGAAGGAAGCACAAATATACTGAAACATTTCTATAATGACTGGTATGTAGAATTTAAAGAATGGTAAGCTTTCACTGCAGTTTCATAGTCGCTGAAAGACATTCTTGTTCATCAGCGTGTCAGGTCTGCGACTGTCGTATCAGCGTGAGCAAAGTGCGTTCGTGCCTGTGAACGTGTAGCTGTTAAGTATTTTTTCTGGGTGTAAATGTTTCAGTTTGCAATCACAGCTGTGATGATAGATGCCTGTCGTGCCAACACTTTCACTTCACACTCAGAATGAGTCAGATATCGTGCACACACGGCATCTAAAGACTTCCAGTAAGCTGCGTATCTGGCGTTACGTTTTTCGGTACAATTTCAAAAATGCTCACAGGTCACACTGATACTGATACTTATCACTGTGACAAATACTAGGGATATAGGCAGCAATAGTTGTACACCGTATAGACATAAGCACTGTGCCACCAACAGGAGCTGTTCACCCAGTGAAACTGCTGCCACAGTTTTTGTGCTCATGCTAACGCCAGAGGATGTTGTAACTTTATGCAGAGTGCCACTTTGTGGATGAGTTACTGTTGTACCTAAACACTTCCAATAAGCAAAGTTCATGTCCGTAAATATGTCCCTTATTTACGGCACATACTTCATTTGGTATATCAGATGCCCTTCCTGACACCCAAAGGATTTGCTTCTCCTCTCAGGGTTGAACTGGGGACCTTTGACTTGTTAGGTGAAGAAGAGTAAACCACTAGGGCCACATGCTCCTAAACACCTCCACCTTGCAGTAATGCCATTTACAGTTGCTTGTGGAATATGTACAGGAGTATCGTATAAAAAGAAAAACGTGTGAATATTTTGAAACAATAGAAATGATTAAATAAAGACATTGTTTACGTATCAAGGGTGAAAGATTTATTGAACTTAATATTGATCTTGAAAATGAGGACATAACTGTTGATTGGGGGAATAACTAGAAATTGTCCAGTGATCAATTACATGCATGTTTGAGTCAGGTCCTACATTATCGGTAAGCACAGAGCTTTACTGTTGTCCCACAAACACAAAAATAGTCCTCAAATATTCATTAAACTCTGCTTCATTAAAAGATTCATCCATTGTGATTAGCGTTCGTCTGAATCCTTTGGTCTGGACACCTTCAAAAAGACAAAACATACTTCTCCAAAACTTAACATCAGCTCAATCTTTTATGTGTAAACTCTACGACATTCATTCAAACAGCAGTAAAATTACAAGTCGCGTAAACTTGCTTTTCTTACTAATCTTTGCAGAAGCTGATAAAATCAACTACCTCTCGTCTAATCAAAAGGATTTGTAATATAATAAAAGGCACATAAGCAGGAGCTGGCAAGCTAAATTAATGAAAATGTCACCATTTTCACATTCAAAGCATACGGCCCGGGATAAAATCTGTGGTTCTTCTCATTAAAAATAAGAAAAAGAGATGCACTGTAGTGAGACAATAAATAAACATGAAATCACTGCTGAGAGAAAACAATCACAATCTGTTCAACTTCACATCCACAAATAGAGGGAAAAGTCAAATTTCACTACAATCAAAACACAAATAAAACAACTATTTTTTCACAATTTTAAAGTAATTCTGAAATATATTTTGGACTTTGCTTTGTGCTGGTTCACCTACCTACACTAAAATAAAATTAAAAATAAAATGTTTTTGTTTTTCGTGCTTATTTATATCACCTAAAAACAACAAAGCTATGTCTAGGTCACTGTCACGCATGCCACTTCAAATCTATGCGTGAGAAAAAAGGAAAAAAATATGTATATATGTTTGTTTTGTTGCCAATTTCATTTTGGCAAATTAACAGATTAAGTAAATGAAACTATTTCAGCTCACTAGCCTCTCTAATTGTACTCCCCATATGGAAAAGAAATAGTAAAAACTTACATGATTTACTCATGAAAGTGGCCACTTTCTCATTACTTTCATATATTGTTTTAGTAAGTATCCAAAACATACAAGTTTCATTATATAATTTTTCAAGGGATCTTATATGTGTTTTCACTCTTGTATGCTTTTCATACAAGTTTCACACAAGACAGATACAAACTTTATAAGATTTATATATATCTTTTCCATATGGGTCAGATTGTGGGATACTGAGTAAGAGTAGCGGTGTTAGCAGTCTCCATGGATACACTACCAAACAAACAAACAAACAAAAAAAACCTGTCCTAAACCCCCCCCCCCAAAAAAAAATGCCTATTTAAAATAAATCTAATTGGAAACAGAAAATTAAAAAAAAGACGGTTCTCATATGTTTGAGGAAAGTGCTAAAGTGATTTAGCAATGTTCAACTTAACTATGGCTATTGCTTTTTTTTTCTTGAGCAGCACAAACTGGTTCCTGGTTGTTCCACACGTCTGCCGTCGGCCAAGAGGATGGAAAAGTTCTTCAAATCTAGAAATCAGGCCCTCTCAGGCAGTCCTCTGTGTGTGTTTGGCCAAATAAAGCGCTGCTGACAGAAAACTGGTCCGACCTGATCTGATTGTTATCACTGAAAGGACCGCGATCTCATCCTCTGGGATTGGACAGTCACACCCGAGCAGGGATAAATGCTATCTGCAAAAACATTCTAGTATTTTTTTAACCTGCTTGGAGTAGAGATTAGTCAGGCTCCCATACAAGATAAAATGACATAAATAACCCCCCCCCCCCTTTTTTGCAAATACCATCTTATGTGATCTGTGTGATCAATTTAAACTGACATTATAATGAACTGTAACATGCACTACACGTGTGTAAATCACTAAACAGCAGAGGAAATTCACACAACACATTACTGAAGGACTTTGCTTTAGGAGGCATGACTCGACAGAGGTAGGTAACAACGACTAAGTCCAAGATGACAAATACAAGTCTAGCTTATAATTACAGACTCAGAGACATGTTTATGAGAGGCACAACCACTCTGTGCCAGAAGCTACTACTATTACAGCTCCGAAGGCAAGAAATGTCCTATAAAACCACCACTGGTTTCCTCTCTGCAGCCGTTTTTTTTAAGCCGTGGCAGCAAACTTCCACAGGGCTTCTCGCTCAAACTCCTCCATCTCCTCCTCCAGGGAGTCGTCGTCCTTCTTCCCGTCGCCCTCTAAAACATCCACCATGTCTTCCAAAATGTCTGCCACGTCCTCAGCAAAGTCGCTGAAACGAATCCTGTCGTGGATGAACACGCCGTCCTCAAAGTAGTCTGCGGTCAGCCTCCTGAACCTATCCTTGCTCTCTGATGATGACCTTTCAAGCTTGCTCAGGTAGCCCTCCAGAAGTTCCTCAAACTCTGACAGCTCCACTGGATAGAGCCCCTCCTTGCTGGCGCAGTCCTCCACGGAAGTGCAGCCCAGCTGGGGACGGACATTGCGTTGGAGCTTTTGCTCCTGGTCTCTCCAGAAATCGTTGTTGTGGTGCTGATGAGGATGGCGGGGCTGCTGATGGTGATGTTGGTGCTGGTGGTTTTTAGCAGACCGGCTGTGCCACGGTTTCTCCTTCCTCCTCTCCTCTCTGTCCATTCTCCTCTCACCCTTCTTGCTCTCCCACTCGTCCTGGTGTTTCCTCCAAGCCTCTTTATGAGAGTTTTGCTTTTGAGGCTTCCAGTCTTTCTCATTCTTCTCCTCTTTGTCTCTCCACCCTTCCTCTTTGCCGTCTTTCCACTGTTTTTCTCCTCTTTGCTCCCTCTCGTCTTTGTGCCTCCAGTCTTGCTCCTTCTTGTCTTTCCACTGTTTTTCTCCTCTTTGCTCCCTCTCATCTTTTTGCCTCCAGTCTTCCTCCTTCTTGTCTTTCCACTCTTTTTTTCCTCGTCCCCCCCTCTCGTCTTTGTGCCTCCATTCGCCCTCCTTATCTTTCCACTCTTTTTCCACCTTTCTCTGCTTCTTCTCTTCTTTATCCCTCCATTCTCCCTCGTTGTTGTGCTTCCACCCTTTCTCTCCTCCCCTCTCCTCTTTCTTGTAGTGGTCCCGCTCATTGTGTTTGCCTTTGTTCCCTTTCCATTTGGACTCCTGGGGCTTCTTCTTCCCCCACATCTCAACTTCTTTGGAGAGTTTCCTTTGGATCTCCTCCAAGTGATCCCTGACCTGTTTTCTCTTGCCTCCATCTTTTTTCATTGCGTCCAGCCTTTTCTTGCTCTCCTCCAAAAGAACCTTCTGCCGCTGGAGTTCTTCCTTCAGCCTTCCTCCCTGCTTTGCGTCCCTCCCCCTCTCTGGTCCAGGTGTTTTCTGGTTACTTTGACCATCTTTGTCTTCAGGCTGTGGGGCCGAACTAGATGCAGCTGGAAGTATTTCCTGATCAGCTGTGAAGGATTTAATATATCAAACTTAAAATGACCTTGGTCGTTACCAGCGTGTCTCTACGCATGCAGGATACGTTCAATAAGTATAAACTTAAAGGGCGATGTAGTCGTCACATTATACCTGCGAGCTGGCTGAGTTCAGTCACTCTGGCTCTGAGAGTCTCGAGCTCTTTCTTCAGCTCTGGCAGAGATGACAGCTCCTCCTTCAGCTTTGCATTTTCTTTTTCCAGATCTGCTTCACCCTTTTTATCGCCATTTGCTGCTAACGCCTTCAGTGCTGAGTCAAGTTCTTCTTTCTTAGACTGAAAAATATGGTCAAATAGTGACAGTTTATAACGTGGACAAAGCTGTAGGTAAATTAAGGTGCTGCGCAAGTTGTTTAACAATTAAAAACATTCATTGAAACGTCATAAAACCAATTAAAACTAAATAATTAGCATCAGTGTGACTCCATACTGACCTGAAGTTGTGCCTCTAGCTGAATGATTTGTTGGTTTTCCTGTGTCAGTTTATCCAATAGCTCTTTCATATCCTGTGGATCACTGCTAAGCCCGTCCTGGATTTAAAATCATTGGCACATGAATAGAACACATATTTTTAAAAAATGTCTATTTCTTTATGTTTGTTTTTAAAATTTTCATATCACATGATCATGTGAAGTAGGAATCTGTGGAAACAGACCTGGCTTTGTTCTGCGTCACTCAGATCGGAGGCGTCAAAGTCACCTGTCAGACAGGAAGACAACGTTTTAGAACGAGTCCTTCCACAGGCACTTTCACTGACACACAACTGCCATGCTGCCTTTCAAGATGCTCAAGTGAACTTTATGAGCTCAGGCCACTCTCTGCACACCACACCAACTGTTTTTATTTTCCATTTCATTAATAAGTATGGCATATTTTGCCTTCAACACAGTGTGACTGCATTAGACACCTTCCCATTTAATTTAAACCCCAGAAAACATTCAGTGAGTCCTTCAAAAATATTATAAGGAGCGTTAAAATTTAGAATGCATGTTATTTGCCTTTTTCTGCTGCTGCAGCATCAACTGTCAGCCCAGATAAGTGCTTGGGCAAGCTATTGAGCATTAGCCAGTGAGCGCAGAAGCTTACACTGCTGCCTTATCTTTAGCTCTGGACCTACCATTATCCAGGTCACTGTGGAAGCCTGTTGACATAGTAGAGCTTAGTCAACAAGATCTGAAAGCAGACATCTAACTATTGCTGACAACAGCAAATAAAGGTGCTTATGTAACTCGTAAATACTGTCATTGTCAAACAGAAACTGTGAAATGATGGAAATTTATGGCAATATTTACTCTAAACTCTTAATGCTGCCTAACACTGCCAAACTCTGATGCTGCGTAGGAAGATCACGGTTTCTTTTCTGACATTTTAACATACAGTGCTGTGCTAAAGTCTTGAGCCAACCCCTCTTTTCTTTATGTTTTGATGGGACACAAACATATACCAAAACACGGCATATGAGACAAAAACAGAGCTTGTACAATTCTAAAAAAGTCTGAAAGTTGTTTTTTGAAGATTCATGTAAAGAAATGGGAAAAAATTATCTGTTTTTTGCATCAGGCTGCTCATAAAAACCGTTGTTTTCTTTTCGGTTGTGTGCAGACAAAACACTGGTTCGTCCGTTTATGCTTGAATGATTCATAGGCCAGAGGACTCTGAAAATAGTCAGGAAAACCTGAGAACTATTGCTCAAAAGCACTTTAAAGCAAAGTTTAAAGATACAGTGTGGCTCAAGATTTTTGCACAGTTCTATAAATATTATAATTTATGGTATTAAAGCATTCATTCTTACTGTTAATGTGCAGCATACAAATTGTAGCCACAATACTGCACTAAATCAAACAATAAAAGCAGAACCAAGCTAGCTACCTTAGTTATGAGAGGAACTGACCTGAGAGAAAGAGGGAACCTAGAAATAGCAAGACCAGAGCACCCACAATGCATTTGTTCAAGGAGAACCATGGCTTTTCCTCCTTCTTCTCAGCCAGCTTGAATTCTACTTCCTCTTCCTCATCCTCCTCGTCTGATGTTCTTGGTCTCTGTGCCTCAAAGGTGGGCACATTTCTCCGCCGCAGCCCATCATTAAAGCTGCCAGCGTCACCCGAGTCATACCTAATGGAAGGCTCTAAGAAAGGAAAAATGTAAGAAGGAAATAAGAAGAAATTCTAAGCATGAGAAAGAAATGGCAAGATAGCAAAGATCTGTCACGTTTTCTGTTGTATTTTTGTGACAGATGATGATAATGTGCCTAAACAAACAAATCATCTCAACATCTGTGGCATCTTTGTCAGAAGTGAATAATTATGTGCTGGCGACTTCCTCACGCAGAATACCAGACTCTAAGTGAGCAAATGAGCTGCAAAACACAACAGCGTGTAAACAGCATGTGAAAAGTGTCTGACAAAAAAAGCGACTGCTGGTTCTCAGAATGGATGACATTTTCTCACTAAATTACAACAACAGTAATTTCATGCATGGGGGTTTCATCATTTTCTCAGCGGGGTGTGGGCTCTCCTGCCATACTGATAAATCGCTTCCCAGCTGCTAGCGAGACATAGATAAGAAACATGTTAACAAATTCTCTCATTTTTCTGCTTTTATCAACTTGTTCCTATTATAAAGCACCACTTACTTTCCTCAAAAGCTGCAGAGGCAGCTTGGAAAACCTGCTAAGAGCCTCAGAGCCTGGGACCCAGATGCACTGATAATTTATGGGACAGGGGTGGGATTAAATAAGTGTATACTTCTTCCCACTCCCTTTCAACATGTAAATTAATCAGAATGTTTTTTTGTATGTAATTTGTATAGTATTTTTTTCTCTCTTATTTCTTTTCTAAATGTACTTGTATATTGTTCACATGTTGAAATAAATTACCAATCAAATCAAATCAAATCAAATCAAATATTTAAAGGCAGGATGCTCGCTGTATGTCACTTTACAAATAAAATCAGCTGTAATATTGTTACACACAGGTACAACGTTGACTTAAAATTTCATCTTATCTTGGGATTGAGAATAAAAAAGGGTTACTGTGTCAAAATCAAGCTTTAAGACATCCATTATTAAAAGACATTTTACAGTTGTTTGGGTTTAAGATTAACTGACAACAAAGAAAGGGAGGTTCACATACTGAACTGTGCAAAAGTCCTGATTTAATAGACATAAAACAGAAAATTTTGCACTAACAAGACGATTCCTAAAGAGCTATTAGCTGAAAACTTATAAGCATAGTGTGCAGTGTATCCTTAAAAAAAACTAAAAGTGGATGAGGGGAGGACAAATGAAGAAAAAAAAAGTATCTACAGTAGAGGAAGAAACAGATAAAGCCCTGACACAGGACCTCAGTTGATCCATCTACTGTTCACTAAAGTCTCAACAGAAGTAGTCTTAGCGGAAGGATGGCTGTCAAGAAGCCATTCTTAATGAAGAAAAAAGAGAAAAGCCCGAATTATGCCAAATTACACAAGAACTGGACTGAAAAATCACTGGCAACAGTTCTTTTGTAGTGATGAATCCACATTTCTATTTCAAATTGTCACCAATATGTACAGAGGAGGTTAGGAGAGAGGTACAGCAGTGAGTGTCTATTCAAGTCAATTTAATTTTATTTATACAGCGCCAACTCACAACTACAGTTGCCTTGAGACTCTACAATAATACATACAGAGAAAAACCCAACAGTCATATGACCCCCTATGAGCAAGCACTTTGGCGACAGTGGGAGGGAAAAACTCCCTTTTAACAGGAAGAAACTTCGACAGAACCAGGCTCAGGGAGGGGCGGGGCCATCTGCCGCGACCGGTTGGGTGAGAGAAGGAAGACAGGATAAAAGACATGCTGTGGAAGAGAGACAGAAAGCCACCATATTTTACAGATGGCTGTAAAACATGGTGGAGGCTTTGTGATGGGGCCTCATTTTGGCCAGTAGTGTTGGTAATCTTGTAAAATCGGATGAAATTCTGAACATAGTAAAGATTTTAATTCACCTGCAGTATTCATCTGGAAAATGTCTAATTTGAAACAACTTAATTTTAATCATGACAATTATCTCAAACACGCTACCAGTGAAGTAAACGCATACCTGGATAGAAAAACACAGTGAAACACTATCAGCCATGGATTGGCCTCCCCAGAGCCCGGACCTCACCATTAATGAAGCAGTGTGGGAGAACAGCCTACATCCAAAGAAGAGCTTTGAATGTCCTTGCGGAGATACTATTCCTAAAGACCACTTAAAGAAGAACGCTTGCCAAAGAGAGGCTATGGTGAAGATGGTGGTCATACCATATATTGACCTTTAGCCTCGTTAGCATGTTGTATTTTCATTTAATGTTAGTGCATATTTTGAAAATCACTGCACTTATTTCTTATTTTTCTAGTAGAATATAAAGAAATGAAGACTTTTGCACAGTAATGTATATTTCTCACTGCACACAGAAAGAGGAGACAGACGTTCACAAGACTCCAACAACAAATTTTTGCCCTGACTTCAGCCTCTGGTGTACATTTCCCACAGTGGATAAGAAGACCGGTTCCCCAGAAATGAGAAACTTGTGTTGTTTAATTACATTTTCTTATTGCGCTAGTTTTCTTTTTTCTGTTACATCTCTAATTTTATTAATCTTTTGTCCTGCTTGTTGAAAAAAAGATATCTCAACTCTCATCTAAAAGAAGATTTTAAATTTAAGTTTTAGAAAATACATTTTGCAGGACTCAAAGAATATATCATAGCAGGATCTTCCACACTCTTTGATTTAACTCTTAAAATGAGGTTGCGTGCTTGAAGCTATTTGCATACCATTGCTTTACTGTGGATTTCCAATAACACTGTTTTTGCCATCACTAATAATCTCATGTGAAGATTATTTTGAAAGAATCTATTTCTACTGAGAAAAAAAAAAAAATCAAAGAAAAGTAGAATACACAGCCGTGTGTGCCTGGCTGGATTTGGGAATACTGTGCGAGTGCCTTTACATTTACTGAAACACTTATGTAGGATAATCAAATACCTTCTTCATCGTCTCTCTCATCTTGCCTCACTGGCTCCGATGGCTTTGCAGGCTCATTTTTAACAGCCGCCTCCTCATCTGCCTCAGCTGAACCAACAGTCTCTGGTGCAGGACTTTCATCAGTAGGATGTTCTGTCACCAGGCTCTCGGGGACTGGGCTTTGTGACTCTGTGCTGTCTGGAACAAAGCTGATATCAGCTTCAACATGAGACAGGGGATCCGTGGCTGTAAGGGTCTCGGTGGGGATGTTAACCTCGGGTTCAGCACTGAAGACTTGACTCTCCCCAGGAGGACTCGCAGGAATCAGTCCAACATCAACAGGCTTCTGGAGCTCATGCTCTGCAGAGATGGGGATCTCAGTAATCAGAGGTGCAGAGCAGGACTCCTCGGACTCGAATGGGGGGACTTCAACAGTTGGAATATCCAGTGGAGCCCCCATGTCAATGTTGGTGACAAATGGCATGGCACCTAGGTGCTCATTGTCACTGGGAGAACTGGTTACAATGTCATGGATAACTGGAGGCTGACTCTCCAAATCCGGATCTGGTGGGTCAAGAAGGCTGGGTGGGAGAGGGCTCATACGGGATGGACTAGAAGGGACAGGACCCTCACTGGACTCTGGAGAGGTCTCTTGACACACCTGATGACAAGGACAAAAGTGTAACTGACATTTTAATTAACCTTCAAATAACAGAGTGGTGGTTAAACTGTTAAATACTTCAGTGTTGACTGTTCCTGCACAAGATATTTTAAACACGTCTACTAATGAGATGTTTGTTTAGAAATGTCATGAATGAATGAGAAAACACCCTGACTACGAGGACTTCATTTGTTGCTCAAAGTGTTAACGAGTAACACTCACGTGCAAGAATCGAGAAAGTAATTCTCTGTGTACAATTTATTAAACTTCTTATTGCATAACAATGATCACTAATATAACTTGCTGGCTGTTACTTTCTATTTTATTTTTTGATAAAGTGCAGCGACTTTTACATGTTATTGAGGTTATTTCCCTGCAAACAGTATCGTTTACAGTATTTCTCTTTCATTAAGTGATGCTGCCCAGGATTACTTTGACAATTTTATTAACCCTTTAATTGATATTAAATGAGCATGACAGTAAGACTGAAGCAGTTGTAACTTTTTTTAAGTTTACTTAAAGACAGCACAATGTCTACTGTTATGTTTTCTCCTTTCAGTGTCTTGATGCAGGCAGGGATGCAAAGTCATTACTAAAGGTCATTTTTCTGTGAGAATTTTGAGATTACAAACTGTACTCCCCAAGGCTGTGCTATTAGTCCTATTATGTATAACAGAATGATACATTAAATTTTATAAATGTTGGTAGAAATAGTGAGCAATAGTTTTATGTTGATGAAGAGAGATGAATCATTACTCTTATTCTATTTACAGGTTTTAAAATCAAAATGTTAAATTTTTATTTATTCATTTTTCAGGCATCTGTAAAGTTCAGAAAAGAGCTTCAAGGGTTACTCCTTACAGGCTTTTAAGGGGTAAACATTTAAGATAGAAAGGTGGTCATATGACTGTGGTTTTAAAATATGAGTGATGAAGTCATGCTATGTGTTCTTTACCAGGAAGAGAAGGTTAGATAATGCAGCTTAAGTTTTAACTTAATCACTTCTAGACGTCTTCGGGCCTTCTTAATACATTAAACTCCTACTAATGTGCTGCTGGTGCAAGTTGATGAACGTTCATTTACATGTAAGTCTATCAAAGCTGTCAGCTGCATATTGGGTAGATGCTGTGTGATTGTTGAGAGCATTCAAAGCAACAGAAAGGTTGAGGAGTTAAGCTGTTGTTTATATAGAGTATGGGCCAAATTCTGTGTGTGGACTTATATTTGCCCATGGATATTTTGGTGCCCACTATAGACTGAAGCAACAGAGAAAATTCACTGGTAGAAATCTGAATAACACTGGATGTTTATTTTTATTTTTACTGTGTAAACAGGAATTATTATAACCATCTGTTCCTTTAATTTGTTGTGCTAATCAGATTTGTAGTGAAAGGATATTACCGGTAACGCCAGTAGTTACTACTGGATTTCGGGTGGCAGTGTATGTGTGTGAATTAGGTGCAGTCATATGAAAAAGACTACAGACAGACTAACTGTACTTACAGCAGAAACAGGTGCTACAGTTGTAGATCTGTTATATCAGAAGACCTGATTTATGAGTTATTGAGACTGTGTACCAGTCCTTGGTAGTTTGAAGTCAAAAGAAACAATCAGAGGTAAATATTTGAAGGAAATACTTACAAAAATAGTCAGAATACATGGAGTAGGCATGAGTGTATAGTCCTGCTGGACTTATGCTCATGTTAGCGTGGAGGGCAATGGGAACGCAGACAAAATTGCAAAGTAAGAGTTGAAATTAGAGGCTAACATAATGAAAAGCTCTATTTGGAAATAGGGAGGCATAGCTTAAGCTTTTTTTTATATAATTCAGAGATCTTGCATAAAGCTTTATGAGACAAAGCTCTATTTCTCTTAAACGGTGGATCGGAAGATAAGATACAGATAAAAAGATTTGAAAAATTCCTAAGGTTTAAGCTTGAAACCTGTTAGGTGAAATGTGACCATGTTATGAGAAGAAAGGCATGATATTTATTTATAGAGAGCTTGGGGATTTAAATCATAGATCACTTCCAAAGACCTCCTCACACAAACAACTTGAATCCAGGAAGCGCTCCTACTTAAAATATTTTTGCAGATGTGTCCCCCCCCCCTTAAATCTATCCTGATGTGCAAAAATACCCTGAGGTTACACTCTGTGGTAAAGTAGGTGGAGCTGCACCTTCTGAGCAGCTATGAAACTCAGAAAAGAAGATGATATTCTGGCTCTCAGCTATGATCTGTCAAGCAGCAATACATTTGGCACAGTTGGTAAGTCTAAATATGATGTGATTGAATTTTTGTCTTCTTAATGAACTGCTGCGTAGTTACTAACCTGGTGGCCTTCTTCAGATAGTACAGTTTCTATGGGGATACCAACGGGTTTGAACTCCACAGCAGCTCCTGAAATAACACCGACACAATGCAAAAACAAAGATGTAGAACCCAAGAAAAGGTCAAAGCTTTAGACACCAGGCAGATATGTTGACTTGTCAGTACCTGCCACCTCCTCTGAGAGACTGGGGACATCCCCCAGGCTCTCTGTGCCATCATCCACGGGCCCGACATTCTCAATGGCAGCTTCCTGTTGAGTGAGAAGACCTAATGAGAACCAGCTGGTAAAAATTTACACCTGTAGCCATAACTTTGACATTTAGAGTAGCATTCACACTCACCAATGATTACAACTGGCACTGCTTACCAATTAATTATGGAGTCAGATTTTCCTGTAATGATCTTGAAATATTTGATAACAAAAGCTACAAATCACAGTCAAACTACTGTCTGATGAGCTTTTACACATTCTCCAACCCAAACTGACAAAACAATATCCATGCAGCTGTCATGGGTTTTCTATCCTAACAAACGAGGCTGGGTAAAATATTAGTAACACCTCTCAGCGTAACACAAGGTTTTCCTAAAACCACAGCAGCCTTACTACAGGCCAAGTCATGCTTGCATACTGAGCTAATACACACACACAAAAAGAAAACTGTGAAGTTGAGTACTGTATGGGATACAAGTTGTTGATATAAACGCTGAATTAAAAGCCAGTTATATATAGTTCTAGAAACAATTAAACAGTAATGACTTCAATAAAAAACATACATTTTACATTCAGTACTTCTGTTTTGAGTGCCACCTCTTACCTGCTGTTAAACCTCAGTGTGGTGTGTGGCTTCCCACTTAAACCTAAGTGGGAAGCCCGTTTCTGATATTTAATGATTAACAGAAATTTGTGATTGAAACCACTGCAGCTTTTCTTTCATGACTCAAAAACCCTGATGCTGGATATCACACCGACTGACTGCAGTTGCCTCTCTGCCACTGAGAATGACAACGGTTCACAGCGAAGTGCAAGCACATGTGTGTCACTAAATCTGAGGTGCAACATACCAGAAAGACTCAGTTCAGTGTGACTACAATATTATCTTAGTTGGCACAGTGTATACGGGGATATTTGCTTGCTATAAATACCTTGTGCTGGTCAGATAGCCAAGTGGCATAGAAAGCTATTCCAGAGGGGTACATTATTGGATAAAGTATGAGAACTGCTAGAATAGTATAAATAAAGCATAGATAAAAGGCCAAAGTGAAATAAATCCTATTTTCACCTGAACTGTGCACATTATCTGCCTGATGAGGCACAATTTGGCGCTCTGCAAACATTCACCAGGATGTTTCCCACTTTAAGCAGCTCTGGGCTGCAGGTTAGGACAAGACAAATTATAAATGAACCAGTATTCATGGAGCAGGATAATAATCATGGTGCTCCAAATGATACCCAGACTTTCCTTAGCTATGCTCATCTCGTCTTACCTCCGGGGAGAGGAGGGTCCAGCTGTTGGTGGAGGAGCCTGTGCTGCCTGTGCTGTTGCTGCTGTCAGACATCGCCCCCGTCAGGCTTAACTTGGCACAGCACACGGGACAGATTGAGCTTTAAAAATCCTGCATATGACGACAAAAACGTGTCTTCAGCGAGCACGCCTAATGCACACATGTGAGCCTCATTATCAACATGCAATAACCCGACTACAACGTGTTCAGGTGCATAAGGCGCAGTTGAGAACATTAAAAAATGCACTAACTCGATGAGCCGTGTGTGATTTTATGCAGCATTCGCATGAAATTTTTTTAAAACTACGGTAAAAGAGAGCAGAATCGCGCAGTTGTGGCACAGTTAAAACCTTGCAAACGGAAACGGGATAAAGAGCAGATTGTCGCTGATTCAAGTTATGTAACGGAGGCATCCATAATACACTGCGCAGTGAAACAAAGGCTTCAGTCAGTGCAGAAAACAAGAATCTCCTGACTGCATTCATCGCTACTGCTATTTCCAGCCAGCCATTCATTCAAATCCATTCATCCAGTCAATCTGTGCAGCAGTTAAATGCCCAAAAATGGTCAAGCCCCCCCCCCCCCAAACTGTACGGGTACTTCATTGATCCAAGCGTGCAAATAAAGGTCAATACTCACTTATCGGCAACGCTAGCGCGCGCTAAGGTTCTGATTTGCTCTTATAAGAGGTAAATGCTGGGCGGCTGTGGTTGTTGTAGCAACCAAATTCAAGGTTCGCTCATGATGGTAAACAAAGGATGGTTGGCTGAATTTCCCACTCCCACTCTTCCGCGTTCTCACTCAGGCCCAGCTGTTAAGTAGGCTGCCCCCGACACGAGCTCGGCTCCATCACCGCGAACGCGAACAAGACGTTTATTTACCCCGCGTGCTCACACTTGAGTCGCTCGGCGTTTTCCACTTCAAAGCGCTTTGCTTTTGTTTTGTTTTGTTTAGCACGGGCACAGCTCCTCTCCTCTGAACTTGGGAACTTCGGGAATTCCAAGTAGCGTCACGTCGACCAACGTGTCTCACATCCAATGGGATTTCACTAAAGCCGCGGGAGCACCCGCCCCCGAATCATGGCTGGACCAATCGGATAAAAGTGTCGCGTCAGGAAAGCGACGTGCATCCCAGCTTGATTGACGCACGCAGGTGAAAGTGGCAGGTGATGGTCCCGGCTCTTTATCCTTGGGTTATAATAATACAAGTTCATGTGTGATCCCACAAGATACACACACACACACACACACACACACACACACACACACACACACACACACACACACACACACACACACACACACACCACCAGTCGCTCACTGACACGTCTGCTGAACTATATTTGTATGGGACTTGCCAAAGTGGACAACCCCTTTCCCACTATTGCTCCAATGTGGGCATTCATTTCATAGTCTGACCCCTTCTCCTCTAAAATTAGTCATTTAAGTGTTTTCTCTGGGATAAGCACTTTCCTTCTTACACCTCTGTACTCCTAAATCAAATAAACAATCACATAATACATAACTGATTGTTGGGGAGCAATGGTAGTATATATATATATAATATTTAATATATAAATTTAATATTAATATATATATATATATATATATATATTATTTATATATTATATATATTTCTTGTCTCTTGTAGGGTGTTGCAAGGTAAAGATTAGGCCTGCTCATGTTTACTCTGGTGGTCTATCCCCAGAGGTAAATGTACACATACAGTGGTGTGGAAAAGGTATTTGCCCTCCTTCCTTCTTTTTTTTTTGTCACACTTACATGTTTCAGATCATCAAAAAAAAAAAAAAAAAAATCGGAGAAAAATAACACTAGTAAATACAAAATGCTGTTTTTTAAAGGCGAAAAGTTATCCAAACCTACCTGGCCCTGTGTGATAAAGGAATTGCATTAATAACCAGTTATTAGGTTTAGGGAGCAATTCTTTATTTCACATAGGGCTAGGTTTGGATAGCTTTTTTCCCCTTAATATTTGAAGTCATCATTTAAATGCTGCATTTTTTATTTGCTCAGGTTATCTTTGTCTAATATTACAATTTGTTTGATGATTTAAACATGTAAGTGTGACAAATAAGAGGGAAAAATCAGGAAATAGAGAAACACTTTTACATAAAGATGGATCTCTTAGATTTTATTTATATTGTGCATACTGTAATGCACATTAGCAACAAAAGTAATCCCAGGACTCTTACATTGTAATATAACAACATCGCCTTACAATATTAAAGACAAAAAAACATTAATTTGTGCAAGCAAATAAGGACAGTGCATTGGGAGAGAAACCTTCATTACTAACAGGAAGAAATCTTGCACAGAACAAAGCTCGGGGAGGGTGGCCATCTGACAGTGGAGTGAGAAAAGAAGAGCACAAAGCCACTGCAAACAATATAACAATAAATACTCTGCAGGCTTGGGGGATAAGAGAACATTCAGCTCAGGATGCAGAAAAACACAGAGAGGACAATGGACAAACTACGGGAAAGAGAGGGCACAAAGATAATAACGTGATGGTGGCATATATTAATAACTGGAGAGTGAACGAGAGAAAAGCAGAGGATTGCTTAGTATAATGGGCAGCCAGGGTGTATAGCAGCATAAATAAGGGGTGGCTCAGGGTCACATGATCTGTCCCTGATGTGAGCTTGATTAAAAAGGAAAGTTTTAAGCCCCTAAGTAGGAGGGACTTAAGCCCAACAATCCTCACAGAAGTACTGCAGGCCAAGCTAAAGTGAGCTAGAAAAACTTGGTGAGACTTGGTGAGATTTCAGGGCAAAGGTCAGTTTAGAATTTATTTAGAAGTAAAAAATTAAGAGATTCTAGATACACATGTAGGGTGTTGAAAATGCCCATAGGTGTGGAAATTATAACATTAGACTATAAATTATAGGCTGGTTAACTAAAACTAATGTTGCTACATACATGAATAATCTCTGAGGTCTTCCTCTTTCTGGCAGCTCCATATTCAGTAACTTTGCCCAATATATCCACTATCCCTCCTCTGAATATCTCCAAACCATCTCATCCTTGCCTCTCTAACCTTCATTCTCGATGCTATTCTTTCTTCACATATCAATCTTCTCCACCTACACGTTCTTCACCTCTATTGTGCAAAGTCTATTGTTTTGGACAGTTGATCCCAAAGTATATAAAAGTCATCCATCTTTACTACCTGCAGACCTCCACCTCTCCAGGCTCTCTTCCACATGCTTCCAGCTATCACTACAGATCACAGTGTTATCTGTTTAATTATATTAAAAAAATAAACTACTACTACTGCTACTACTACTACTACTACTACTAATAATAATTAAAAAAAAATACGGAAACTTGTATAATATAAACTCTTATAAAATAAAAACTAAGATACAATGAGAAAATGCATGGAAACGAACTGAAGTAAAACCGTTTGAAATGTTAAAAATTTAGAGCTAAAATAAGAAGAAACCTTGTTGACGTCACCTTTCTCTCAATTGAATAAAACAGTGTCAAAAACTATAATAGATTTAAAACTTTCTCACCATATCACCGCTAAAAACGATTATAAGCTCAGTCTGGGACTGGTTATGTAATCACACCAAAGCATGTCAGGACAGAATTGTGGTCGCACTTTGGACTGAAATGGAATGTTTGTTTTTTTGTTTTTTTTCCCAGATTTTTCCACCCTGATGACGAATTAGGAAATCAAAGAAGTTACGTTAATGTCCTGCGACAGATAGAAGTAACCAATAGCAGACGAGTTTTTCCGTCGTATTGACCAATAGGACGAGGCTAGGTCTATTTGAACGGTGAAAAGCGGGCTCGCACACATTCGAGAGGGAAACAAAGAGAGAGCAAACAAATCGTCGCTGTCGGATGCGAAATAACTGGAATAGTTGGCTTTTTTAAAAAATCTCTGGGAAAGTTAATTAGAAAAAACAAAAGGTAAGTTCTTAAACTTAACTATTCGTATTGGGCATTGACAACAACACATACTTTGATTTTTAAGACTATAAATACGCACACATGTTTTAAAGTCTCGTCGACCTAGCTTGAACGGATATAGCATAGCTACACTCATGTAGCCTTCTTTTAGCTTCTTTCCTTTTTCTCTAATTGTGACCGTTAATGTTTAACATTTCCCACAGGGTACCACCATGTCTCACAAACAGATCTACTACTCTGACAAATATGACGACGACAAATACGAGTACAGGTACGTAAGGCATGCTTTTACGACATGCAGTTACATAAGGTTTATTAAGATGACTCTTTGCAGAAGATGGCTTCAGCTCATTACACGACACATGAGTATTTTATTTTTTTTTTTAATGCCCAACGCAACTGCGTTGAGAATGTAATACTACTTTTTTCCCCCCCCCGCAGGCATGTAATGCTACCCAAAGAGCTTGCCAAGCGTGTTCCCAAAACCCATCTTATGTCGGAGACCGAGTGGAGAAACCTTGGTGTCCAACAGAGTCAAGGATGGGTGCATTACATGATTCACCAACCAGGTAATAACTGACAGCGTCATGATTTTAAATATTGGTTTGGTAATTTGTGCTTGCTGGTGGGTGTATGGTGGTGTAGCTTGTTGATCATATTGAACTGAAACTTGAGACAAGTTGTAATAGTTCATGGTGATCATTTTGCAGCAAAGGCCAACTCACAATTAGACTAAAACTGCAGCTGATCGCTTTGACCACTATTGTTTTTCTCACTCTGTGACGTTACCTTTAACTAAAGCTCTGAGAATGACCAGGTGACCAATCAGTAGTCTAAAACAAGGAATTTAATTTTACAGAAGAGAATAATTTAACATTTAAATAAACAAAGTAATTTAAAACTTAGGTTTCTGCAGTTGAGGTGATGCAGACTAGATGTCGTTGCTACTGGATTTTGTGGCCCAAATTAAAAAAAAAAAAAAAAAAAAATTCCAGCTTGCACGCCCTATTTTTAATTAAGAGCTACAAGAGATGTGTTTGCCCCCCCCCCCAAGACTTAAATTGCTACTTTCCACAAGATAATGAACCTTTCTTGGTGTTCCTCCTCCAGAGCCACACATCTTGCTGTTCCGACGCCCTCTGCCCAACCCAAAATCATAAAGGAGATTCTCTGGGTCCTTCAGGGACATCAGTCTACCATGTCGCATATCAACTCATCACCATGCTCTGATTGCCATGTCGGCTGATTATGCTGGACCTGGAGAAGGACTGCTGCATTTATGAACAGTGATTATGGAATGGATTGTGTTGAAGGAAAAAAACTATGACCCACCTATTTGGGGAAAAGACTTCTGCATGTGTTAAGAGCAACACGACGTTTGCCAGAAACCTTCAATTCAGCTTAAACTGTCCTTTTTGACTTAACCTGTCCATCTTGTGAACATGCTTGGATTTTTCCAGCTTTTTAGAACAATTGCTGTAAGATGTGGGGAGTGAAACTTGATCAACCATTTGAGTTATTCTAAGTGCTTTCTGGGTTGAGCTCTAGCAGAATAGTTGGATCCTAAATTGATTTGGACTTTGAAGCCACAAATCAAGGTTTCAAAGTCTCATGTTGCTGCTTGGTTAAAATGACACTGTAGACTGGCATTTAATGACATTTTGCCATATGCAGATGAGGGAAAGCCTGCATTTGAGTTGGATAGATTCTAGTCTTGATCCAGTTTTCTCAAGCATGTATATTAGTTCTGGCTTAATGTCTGGGTCTATACCAATGAGCTGCTCAGTATTTATGAAATGTTTTGCCCTTTCTGAAATAAATGTAATCTTTTAAATCTTAATGTGGACTTGTGTTTTGATAGTGGCAAAGTGGCTGGTTTACTGATCTCAAAAATGCAGCATGAACCTGAATGAGGTTGGTGGGGGGGAATCTTTACAACATGGAGTTTTGTGACATTTTCAGCTCGAGCAGAGTTGAATTCAATAAATCTATTTTGGTGTCAGTTTATGTGAGGAAACAAATCTGTATGAAGAACTCGATGGCTTATCTTGAAATTCACAATTGCTACAGGAAGAAGCAACAAGATTTTTGGAGCTCATAACTGGAAACCTACCAATTAACTGACTTTTGCACCATAGTATGCAAATCTTAATACTTGAACTCCATCAGATCCTGAAAAAACATCTCCATGAACAACTTATTGCATTGGTTGAAGCACTGAATGAGTGATGCGTTTGATAAGGTTTTTACTGCATGGGGAGTTTTGATGTTTCCCCAAAAGGCAAATAACCCATACAAAATGATTGCAAAGAAACCGCAACTCCATCTTCTCCAAATATGTATATAATGTCGGTGACTTCCAGCTGACATCCACCTACACATCAACTGCAGGCTGATCAATCACACTTAATGTTGTGGAAGTTATCCCCCAGAGGCCCATTCTGAACCAGGTTAGCCTCTATAATCCTGATAGATTGACATGGTTCTGCTGTGTGGGCTAAAATAATCCGATAAAACACTGATGCCTGTAGCATTAAAAAAATTTTTTTTTATTCACGATGCATATTACCTTGCCAATATTTGGTGTCATCTATAGTTAGTAGCAGTCATTATGCGTGGTGTGTGGTTTTTTTTTTTTTTTTTTTTTTT